ACAACAATTTGGTTTATTTTTTACAAAGGAGATTTTCATTTGGACATTTCTGGAATAGTTTCCGTTGGTTTTTATGGCATTATTATTTGCCAATATTTTTCACATTCACGTACACAATTTTCGGTTTCTGTGATTTTGGCTTTCAGGCTGCTGCCCTGCCTCAACTGTACTCAATTTATTTTTTTTTGTGTTAGTTGCAGTTGATATATAAAAAAAAAAATATATATATATGTATATGCATACGTATATGCATAACGAGAACTGACTTTGGCATTTTGATTTTTAATTGAATATTTTGCCATGCCATCCGACCGTAGGGAAAAGTCAACTACGAAGGCAAACAAGCAGAATTTGAAAACATTCGGCGAATAGTACGTAATAGGAGAGGCATATCCAATATCGGATTTATGATTTCTGATTTCTAGCACTCTTGACGCTTGATTGGGTACAGTTTTGAGCATTTTGGAACTGACACTGGCACTGGCACTGAATACGATTCCAAATAATCAAATTTTATTCCCTGGGCCTCGAACTGCACCTCGAACTTGCTAATTGATATGCATGTATCGTATTTTCCAGAGTTTCCGTTTCAGCTGCAATTGCAGCTGCTGGTCCACCCCATTAGGTATAGGACTCCGGCTGCTACAGCTACTGCTACTGCTGCTGCTACTGTTGTTGTTGCTGTTGTTGGCCTGCCGACATTTTTCCATTAATTGAAAATGCCAATAGCACAGCCAGCAGAACAATGAACCATCAAATTGCCAGCCAGCCATATTGTGTGCCCCCGGCAGTTTGCTCCTCCATCTACATTCCGCTGTTCATCCGCCGCCGCCCGTTCTGGCACTCTGCCGCATGCATTGTATTATTTGTGGGCGCCCTGTCTAAATTTGCCATCCGCATAAATTATGAAAATACCACGTTTGCTGGCCTATTTCAATGACATTGCCATTGCCATTTCAGTTGCAGTTGCATTGTATGCCAGTGTTGGGAAAACTATTTTCTATTTCCCGTGCTGGGTTCAGTATTTTTGTTTGTTTTTTTTCGGGCTACTTTATACTGTTGGTGCATCATCAAATATTCCGCACTATTTACCACTGAACGAATACTCGTGTGGATGGCTCTGGCAAACCAAACAAATGTCAAAGCAGTTCCTATTTGCCCTTTTAGTTGGTAAATGCGGTCGAACTTGCCATTTTTGTTTGATATTGCAGAGAGTAAACTGAAAGATATTTGAAAGAATTTTCAAATTCAAACTATTAAATAGTGGTAGTAATTTAATTCCGGTGCAAATATGAGAAATCCTCAGCAGATATTTTTTCACAGAACAGTTTGAGCTTAAGCTAAAGCTCTCTCTTCGTGCTGCATAAGATTGCTTCAAAGATTGTTAGAGGAGCGCTGCGAAACTAGCTGTTAACCCTGCAATTCAATGTAAATCTTAAGCAATTTTTTGCTTTTGCCTTAAAGGTTTACTCGGGTGAAAGGAAGGCAAAAACTAATTTGGAAAATTGTTTTTAGCTGCTGTTGCTCAGCCGCTCAGAAACGCTCAGCCTTTGCCGTTGCCTTTGCTGTAGCAGCCCGGGGCAAGTGAAAATTTGCAATCTAATAAAGAAATTACTTGAGACAGGATAGCCACCAAGGACGTCGCCTACACTAAATAAAATCTCAGACATTTTTTTCCCTTCGTGCCTGTCGCTGTTGTCGTGGTTGTTGGTGCGATGTCGCCAATGCTTTGGTTTTGGTTCGCCATTGTTGTAATGAGCTGAATATAAAGTGCGTGTGGCGGCACGAACTGGGCTTGAATCGAGGGAGTCCTAAATCGCTGTTTGCTCTTAGACATAACATGAATAATTTAAAAACAAAAGCGAAACGATTTGCGACGTGCGACACCCGAACGACTTCTAATACACTTTGGCAAGTGCGGTTGGGTGTGGTGCGGTGTGGTGCGGTGTGGTGCGGTGTGGTGCGGTGTCCTCTCATAAGCTGTGTCAACTGTGGTTGGGGTGTGGCAGTGGCTGTAATTGCAGATGTGGATGTGTGAAACCGGAAAAGGGACATTTAAGTCAAGCTAATAGCTGGAAACAATGGAGGGGGCGACACGCCATGCTGCCATTCAAGCATTCACTTTACCAATTTTCGCTTAATGCTGGACTATTTCGAGATACTAAGAGACAGCTGACTGTGGGGTGACTCCCTACAGTGGGCATGGGGAGCACACGTGCCACTTGCTGCAGGTTCAATAAATATGCTTTGATGGCAAAAATTGCCTATTCAATGTGGTAGTTTCTCCTGCTATTCTGGCATATATATATATATTCTGGCTGACTTATTCATGGGGGCCGCTACACCGTGCCATTACCATTGCTTTTATTGGATCTCCATTAAGCAGGAGCTCCATTGTGGCAGCCATACTTCTGTGGAGGATAAAGCTCTCGACTTGGAAAACAACTTTCAGCTGGGAGTTCTTTTGTCTTGGCTTTATGCATCTCGCACAATCTGCGTGCCGTGCCGTGCCGCACAGTGTGGCATCATTTAAGCCAACAATTAGCTGCGACTAGCTGCAGTTACACGCCCACTTAAGCGCGGGCTGTGAAAACGTTAGAAGGCGAAAGTAGACCAAGTACCGCTCAGTTTTGTCAATGCTTTGTTGCTGGTCTTGTTGTGTTGCTGGTTTTGTTTGTGTGCGTCGCATTGTGGGAGAACTTTAATTACGAAAACATTTTCAAAAGTTTTTCATAAATTTCTCGCACTTAACCGCAACTACATAACGCAAACAAAAGTTTCAAGTAAAAGTCTCTCTGTGTGCGTGTGTGTGTGTGTGTGTGTGTGCTACTTATACTACTTATTTTTGTGAGGACTGTTGGTGTTGCTTTTGTTGCACTTGCAGCAGCAGCATCAAACTTTCGCTGCGATAGCAACAGCAGCATCGCCCATCAATAAAACGAAAATTGCTGCCAAATGGCGCTCAGTTGTCGCAAGAACTGAAAGGCGTTCGACTCACTGTGAGGGGGCGTGGCTGGGCGGCTGCTGCTGCTGTTGCAGTGAAAACAATCGAAATTATAGCAAACAAGCGCGTAAACTTTTCGCTTTCATGGTCGAGTGTATATTTTTTTTGTTGTTGTTACTGTGTGCCACGGGTGCGTGTTGGTTTGGGTGTGTGTGTGTGTGTGTGTGTGTGTGTGTGTGCGGCTTGTAGTTTTATTTCTGTTGCTGTTGTTGTTGATGCTGCGGCGGCTGTGTGCTGCTGATGCACGGGCTGCAGACACACATTAAAATGGCCGACAAAAAGCACCGCCAACTGCCAACCTAATGCCAATGCAGAGACACAGACATACACACACACACTTGCACCCAAAAAGCTATCGGTAATCGCCATTGTTTGCATGTGTGCTGGTTTGTTCACAGCTTTTTATGTTCACTGCTCTCTCACGCTCTCTCTCTCCCCTCGCGATTTTCATACTCTTGCGGAAGATACTTTAATTTTAATCAGATTTTTGTAATTAAAAAAAAATGAAAGGTTTTTTCTTAGTGTTTCTTGGTAGTCAAGACCACAGTATATTTATTGCAAGGCTCTTCTACTTTTAAGTAAATAAATAAAACACCTAAAATGGTAATTTATAATGCTAAAATAATGGCACTAATCTGCTAGGGTATCTAAAGAGTCGGCACCCAAAGTGAGCTGTGATTTCTGGTTATTGTTTGCCGCCCGCTTTTTTATTGCGGCTCTTGATGACGAGCGAACTGCGAACTCATTTGCGTGCACATTTTCGTGGCATACTTTTTGGGGCCTCGCTGGAAATGGAAATTCCGGAATGGTGCACCATGGCCATGGTGGGAGAATGGGATGGTCATGAAAAAATATGTGTCAACAAAAGTTTCGTTTTGCAAATGTTTCTGTTCTCACTGTTCTAGTGCCCCGATGCTCATGCTGCTCTCTGGCCGAATCTAATGGCTCTGCGGGGACCGTGACCCGACACCGACAAACCGGACTGCAATTAGAGAGTCGACTCGACTCGAGTGGAGTGGAGGCTGTTTCGGAGCAACCCTTTTACGGTATGGTTTGCTCTCTCTCACTTGAAATTTTGTGGAATCGTGTGGAACTAGTTATGCTGCCATAATTAAATGTAAATTATCGCCATGTGTACAAAACTGTTTTCATGTTTACTTATTTATTTGTCAGTTAATTAGTTCGGGCTCAGCTCTGTCTCTGTCTCTCATTCTCAGTGTGTGTGTATTATTCTCAGGGCCTGTATCCCCCCTTACTGCTCCTTCCTGAAATCCAGTTTGGTGTCTGTTGTTCCGGGACTTTTCCTGTTCAGTGTGCAGTAAAAACCACGTACAAGAAATGTAATTATTTTCATTACATCAACAAACACACCCGATATAAATGTACACCCAAGTAACAACAATGCCAAAAGAAGAAAACAAAAAAAAAAACAAAAAAAAGAACACCAAAACGTAAAAAAAAAAAGAGAAAACATGGCAGCCAAAACCACAGCGTCGGCATTTCCAATAGAACGGGACAACAATGGGTAGGAGAAGGGAGATAGAGTGAGAGAGTGAGAGAGAGATATGTATGTGTGCTCTTTTGTTTATTTTTGACATTGACGTCCCTCATTAATGTAAACGACGTCGACGGGGCATAAAAAGGCGACCTTCTGTAATTATAATTAATACGAAAGGAACATGAGCCCCACACATACAATACACATGTATATACGCGTACTCGCACACAACTTCCACTGTCAATCTGCCCCATTTGACCCGAAACCAATACAAGAAACCTCAGAGAGTGGGAGTCGTTCCGAGAACAGCTTACAAATTGCGTCTTTGTGGCATTAAAAATTCCATTAGCTGCAAACTGCCCGCGTTAATTAGTGCCGCAAAACCACGAATAGATAATTTGATTTTCTCTTCAGGGGGGTGCCGCACATGTACCCTTTCTCTGGGAGGGTTAATTTTCCTTTCATTAGAATTATGCTCAACCCAAACTCAAAACTTACCAAAGATCCGTCCTGCCCGGGTGGCCGTCGTCAGTAGCAGCACAAAGCCATAAATGATGAGCCCTCGCTGATGCTTGGATTTGGCCGATATGCGCAGCGTCATTTTGTTAGCTTTATTTTTGTTGGTTTTTGGTTTTTAGAATTTTGGTATTTTTATTTTGTTTTATTTCCTTTACGATCTAAAGCGATTTCTGCGGTGGTTTGCGTTACGTTTGTTTTCTATTTTTTATAGATTTTGGTTTTCTCTGATTTGTTTCTCGCCCCCCGCCGGCAATTAAAATTTGTATTCACTTGTTGGTGTGTGTGTTTTTCGGTGCCAATTAACCTATGTTTGTGTTATAAGCTGTTGCTTTTTGTGTTGAGTTTTTGTAACGGATTTGTTTCGGCGGATTTTGCCTTTAGGTGATCATTTTGAACGAGCTGCAAATATTAATAAAAAAAAAGGGAAAATTATATTACACTTCAATTCTCGGAGGGGAGCTGCAATACTGCAAAAAATATTGTAATTGATTTCGTGACGTTTGCTTTTAGTTTGAATCAAAATAAATTTCTTGTTTATCCCTAATGTGATTAATAATTTTATTGATATTGATATTGCCAGTAATAAATCGAATATCCGTTCTTCTTATATTAAATCCCTTTGGTTAGCATATTTCTGATATAGATGCCCATATATTATTCCATTTTTTTTGTGTAAATCCCTTTTACTATCTCCTAAAGTTTCACTTTTGGGTCCCTTTCATTTCAGCTCTGCGGCTGCGAAATTAACTAAAGATGTCAGTCCCGACCAGCGGGGAAGCATAAACACCACACACACACACACACGCACAGAAGCGCACACAGAGAGACGGAGACAGAGAGAAAGAAATACACATGCACACCCATGTAAGGGTTAAAGTTTATATGCTGAGAATGAATTTGGCATTTTTATAACAACACAGCGGCGGCAGGGCACACACTCGGAAGTCTGACAACATAAAATGGAGTGAAATCTCTGCTCTGCTGGTGGTGCACTGTGCACAGTCAACTAATGTGGCCAACGGGTGCATCTGGGGGGTGCAGGGTGCAGGGTGGGGATGGGGCATAAAAGTGGGGTATAAAAGTGAAATGCAACAGCAGCATGAACCGCAGCAGCAGCAGCAGCAGGCGGCGGAGGGTGTGTGTGTTGGTGTGGGTGGGGTGGCGCTTTGGTGCACATTTAATGCGGCAACAGTTACAACATGTGGCAGTAAATGGCGATTGTTGTTGGCCAAACAACTTGGCTTTTGACTATAAAAACTGCAAGGGAAGTTGGATTTGGAGTTGGAGTTGGAGCTGGAGGAGCAACCAGAGCCGGAGCACGCCTTAAAGTTGCCCCCATCACCAATCCATACACACATGTGTACACCAGGGGATCCGTCTGTGGGGTGGTAGGTGGCTAAAGGTGGCTTCAACTTTGGCAACAACGAAACCCGCCGCACATTGCACATGACGTAAATGTTGTGGTTGCTTTTAAAAACTTTGTTTTAATGTGTTTGCTGCAGGCTGCAAGTTTATTTTTTTTTGCTCTCCCACCCACCTCTGCAAAGCCCCTGCGCCACTGCTGCGTATCCCAGCTCTGTGCCCGCCCCTATTATTCCGCTCCCCCTGTCATTGTGTTGACGTTAAAATTTAAAGTTCAAATTTGTAACTTCCCCTGAAAGTTGCAATGAAAACAAAAATGTTGCAGACAGCAAATCGTTTGGTCCTTAGGCACACATGGCACACATGATAACAGCTAATGTCTCATTTGTACTCTCCTCCGCTCCAGAGATTGTTTTTACAGTTTTAATTTAAGAGCAGAGCAGGCCTTTAGCTCTCTGTATCTGAAGAATAACTCCCTATTTTTCTGTAATGAATTAATTATACCCATACAAATAAATATGGTAGGGGATTTTTTTAGGTAGCCCTTGGATTTACAATTCCAGCTGCAACAATTCCATTTTCAATTGCCTGAATCATTCATAAATCTGAGCAGGTGATTTATTCTCGACGAAATACTCCGCTTAAGCGCCTTTCTTATTAGCTTTAAGCGCGTGTCTCTCTCTTTTCTCTCCCACCTGGCTTTTCGTTTGCTTAAACTCTCTCTGCCAGCTTGGGGGATTTTATATCTCGTTAAATAAAAGCATCTGGTCAGACAGACACCTGCAACAGCCAGTGCATACATTGTCTTTTGTGATATTATTGCATTGTGTATTTTAACAAGCAGTTTTAATGCAACTTTTACTCGCTCTCCCTATCTCTCACTCTCTCTCTGCTTCTGCTCGCCTCTTTCTGACTGACTCTTTTAGCAAACAAAAAATAAATGAATAAAGAAAAACAAGCAAAATATTATGACTGCTGCTGGTAATTGAAGTTATTTTCCATATTACAAACCCTGGGATTTTACGTGTGCAAAAACACGTTGACTTTTTCCCTGTCGACACACTGCAGTGTGGCCATGGCCGGCCATGTGTGCCTGTATGTCTGTATGCCTGTATGCCTTTATGCCTGTGTGGGTGTGTCTGTGTGTATCTGTGTATATGTGTTGGCAGAAGCACAAAAACTGAGTTTGTGTAAATAAGTTTTCCCAGAGAATGTGGCTGTTGTCTGGTCTCGGTACTGCCCAGAAAACAACATTTTCACAGTAAAAAAAAAAAAACAGATAAACACAAAGCAAAAGAAAATAAATACAAAAATCTAGAAAATATTCTAAAAGTTTAATTTCGGTCTTTCGCCAGGAAAATGTTGATCCTGTGGGTATACTACTTTTAAGTGGACGAAAATGCTGCACTAATTCAGCTAAATTTGATAGTTTTTTATGTACAGGTACAACCACCGCAATTAGACTCTACTTTGAGGCTCCTGTAATACTTTTCAGTTGTTCCAATCCAAATGAAGACATTGGCCAGCGAAGCCCGTTAATAGCCGCAGCTAGACGACCTCAAATAGCCAACGCCTTACTCTAAGCACCTTAACGACAATTGCCCCCAGGTTCTGGCTTCTTTTCCCCCCATCGAACACCAGGAAAAAAGCTCCGGTACCAGTCCGTCAGCAAGACCACTCAACAAGTTCTCTAACTCGTTCCTCGGTACTACGGCACGGCACTGCCATGGCACGGCCCTCAATGTCCAGTTGTCCAGTCCACAGGAAAGGGGCGACGAGGGCCGTGCCGTGCCGTGGGCAATTAAAGTGCCTTTGCAGTGCAGCAGCATTTTCTCAATTTTTCACATAATTCCGACTGCGTTTCACCCATCCATTCTTTGGCCTGGCTCGTTATTTTCTGTTTTACGCTGCTCCTCCATGTTCCGGCCACTTCCATTAGTCAGTCGTTCATAGACAGTTGCGAGCCGCTTTTATGCCCGAATGCCCGACACGGGCCATGGGAGCGAACGTTAAGTAGCTAAATGTCAGTAGCCGATTTGCAGTTATGACAACACCCACAGTAGTCGTCGCCCCATTCGGGGCTGAAACTTTAAATTAAACAGTGCCAACAGAAGCTGAGGGAAATATGACTATTGAATGAGCAAAGCGAGGGCAGATTCAATGTTTCCATAGCACACCTTTTATTGAACATACGAATGGATCCATTGATATAGGTATGATGATAGCACAAAAATATTTCCCTCATTGCGTGTCAAACATCTGACAAAAAAATGAGAATAACTCGAGCAAGGGTATACACTGCATTTTGCATGAGGCACAAAGAGAAAAAAGCAGCACGGGAATCATACAAAATATGCGAAGGACAGCAGAAGCAACAGCAAAGCAGAACAGAATCACGGGAACAGCAGGAACAGCAAGCAGGAACAGAAGTTTGTAATTTACAACTTATTTACGTAGAAATAAAAAATGAATTAAGACAACGAACGAGCAACCATGACAGCTGCCCCCACAAGGCCTGCCCACCCGCATCTGTTGGCACGGCACGGCACGGCAAAAGGTACAGGTACAGGAACAGGGTACAGGAACAGGTAAATGCATAAATAAATAAAGCAAAGGTCTAACAGAAAAAGCAGAGAAAGAGTGGAGCGAAATGAGCGAAGTTCGTAAATGTGGAATTATAATTAAATGCTTTGAAATGAAAGAAATGCAGTCAAATAGAAGCCTCGACTTTCAGCTTGGCTAATTAGCAGAGCCAAAGGTGTTGGAATGTCCTTGCCGCTCCGGGACACCCTGAGTGAGAATTATTATTAGCCTAGGACTACTTTATATATTTTTTTTTTGCTGATCTAATCAACTCTTTTTTTGAGCTGGAACTGGAACACACTTTATTAAGTTTTAAAATTCACAGATAAATATATGCATTCTACGGCAATCTGCTGCTACTCTGCTGTCAGCAGCCTGTCACCGGCAGACACACACAGCAGAAACAAACTGAATGCTCTATAAATGGAAGAAAAAACAACCACGTGTCAAGTGAGTGGGCATGGGCATGTCTCTATATTTGTCCCGCTGTCTCCACGCCACTCGGTGGCAACTATGGATGGAGAGATTATAATGACAGACGGTGCACAAAGAAGCGAAATAACAAACACGGGCATAACAACGGGCTCCATCTGCAACAACTTAAGTGCAACTGCAGTCGCAGTTGGTGCAGTGTGCAGTTAGCAGTGTGTGTGGCACCAACACTTGAGAGATGTGGAGAGAGCGCCGAGCGCCAACAATGACTTTGTGGCAACTGCAACGGCAACGGCAACAACGTCAAGTGGCATGGCTAGTGCCATGAAAGCACAATTGAATCCATGAAAATATTACACACTTTTCTTTGGTGCGATTTATGTGGCGTGCCCCATACGCCACACACCCGCCGAATGGTCGCCTAATCATTTTGGGACAAGCAACTAATTTGGTTTGTTTTTAGGGGCAGAGAAAAAAGGCGAGAGAGAGTGTGTGTGTGTGGCAGGATCACAAGAGTCACTGTGCACCGCTTACAATGAATTTATTTTATTATTTGCTGATGTTTGCAATTTGGGCACGTGCCGCAAATTTTCAAATAGTTCTGCAAGCCAACACCGGACGTGGCACACACATCCTGGAGAGGAGTGGAGTGCAGAGCAGAGGAGAGAAGAGCCGGAATGCTGCCAAAGGTTGAGCAAACAAACACTTACAAATACACTCGCACTTGCACACTCACTCACACTTGCACACACACACTCATAGAGGGGGAGTTGGGGTTGGGAGGGACAGGGCTGCCTGCCTTTTTTACCCATTTTTCCACTTCGCTGCGTTTGTTGACAAACATTTTTGAGTAGGGCTAGCATAATGCCACGTAAAATACTCTTTAGGAAAAATAAAATAAAGTTAAGTCGCATTCCCCCTCCCCATCCCCTGTCAAGGCAGCAGCAACACCCACTGGAATCAGCGCAAATTTAGTGGCAAAGTAAATAAATTTATTTTAGTTTTTCCCTCTGCCTGGGCCCTTTGATTGCCCATTGCCATTGCCATTGTTGTTGGCCCCCATTTGGTGCCCCGAAATAGCCCCGACGAAATGTCTTAAGTCGCTGGCTGCCTTTTATTGCCGTTGCCCCCCAAACAAATGGCAGCCAGCCGGCAATACGAGTGCGACCATGTATGTGCCAGAGGAGAGTCCTCTGGCGAAAAGAATCGAGAGTGAAATTAAGAAAAATGGCGCAAAAGGGTCCAGAGAGCTTAGTGTTTGTTAAATGGCACATACAGTCGATCGACAACCCTTTTTGGCTGGCCAACGTAGACAGAGTATTTGTGCGCTTAACAATAATGTTGGCTATTAGCGGCAGGGCCATGACCGAATGCCGGGGTCAGCAATTTGGAAACTTTTTCAAGCAGCCTTCGAGCCGAAATGCCAAACCAATTTCTGGATGCTCCAAAAAGCCGACAAACCAACCGCCAACCGACACTCACTAATTAAACTAATTAACCGAGATGGCAAAAAGGGATAAGTTCTGTGCGTATAGTCGATGTCTTGGGCATATTCTTGGCTAGCTCCTAAGCATCCTGGAGGCACAGGAGTCGGGCTGTTCGCCCGCACAGACACAAATTGAAAGCGAAAAGGCTCCTTTCCAAAGTGGGTCAGACGATGTGGAAAGGAAAAAGTTGCGCCGCTCCCTTTTTGGCATAAGCAGAATCCAAATCGGGATCCCAAAATGCAAAATATGCTTTAGTGTGGGCTGGCGCTGGGCGCTTGCTGCCTGCCTGCCAAACGCATTTTCGTTGGCCGAGCAGCAGCAGCAGCAGCAGAGTGCAGGGCGTACGAGCTCGGAATTTTATTTCACAGCTCCGACCGACCACAGCCAGCACACGATTATTAAGCATTTAGGAGCAGGGATAGGAGGAGGAGCAAGGACTGGAGCAAATTTCATCCTGAACGTGGCTGAGCTGGAAATGAGCTTGAGGCTACCCAATTTGCATGCAGGCGGCGAGTGCCCCGTTAAATGTGGCACGCTCTGACCGAAGCACCGGAGTGGAGTGGAACCTGGCTTATGGATCAATCGGAAATAACGCTCCCATTTCTATCTGGCATAGGCGCACCTTTTGCTGTGTGTTTACTTAAAAAAGCAGGCCCCTCTGTTGGTTCCTCGAGAGCCGTGCAGATAACGATGACAGTACGGATAATGATTCCATGGACGATGTTCGCACACAACACAAACGAAAACTAATCGCGGATTTCACTGAATGCTTCATCATTTTCAAAACTTTATTTGCTTATTGGCGGATTTCTTACACGCGGCGGCAGTACTAAAGATATCATTTGTGGTATCATTCACATTGGACACTTGGCCCGAGGGCCGTTTGCTTGGATGGCTTCGGCACTTGGCTCTGCCAGTTTGGCCGGCTTTGGGCTTTGGGCCACACGGATTCAATGGCTGAACGCTTTAGCGTCCTGGATGCCCACACACGCGACGCGAACGCACGAAGCCCGGCAGCGGCAGCGGCAGCAAGAGCAGCAGACACATCCTTACGGGCGCACAACAAAAACGAAACTGAAGCGCGTTCGTTTTTTGCACAAATAAATTCTCAGCTCGTCGTGGCCAGTGGCAGATAGCGACAGCGCGGCTGTGTGGCAGGCCAGACCGTTAGCTATTCGCTTGCCTCGTGCCTCGCATTCGGGTAGCAGCGTCTGCCTTCGTCTCTCGATTCCGTTGCATAGATTTGAGCGCGGGTGGACGTTACGTTTCGTTTCGTTTCATTCGTTTGTCCTGCCCGAAGGCACACAGAGAAGCAAAAAGCAAGAGAGCAGAGAGCAGAGAGCTTGGCTTCCCCTTGCGCTCTCCTGTACCACTTTAAACTCCGAAACTCACCTCAATTCCGAATGGAGCGAGGCCTTATCAGGGAGCGAGACATGATAAGAGCAGAGCGCACGACCTACGAAACGCGTTCAGGGGAGCAGAGAAGAGCAGTTTTGTGGGTCGTTTGGGAAACGAAATTGGCACCAGAGCTGGTGAATGTTATGCTGCTGAATTATTGGGAGAAGTCTATGTGTCTATGTGGAAAGTGGACTCGTATCTACCTTTAAGGTTCATAATTAATGATTTTTAGAGAATTATTTGTAAACATTTTTCGTGAAAATGTTATTGAAAAGCTTCATAACCAACTCAAAGAAAACCGTTTGGTTGCATCGTTTAACATTAAATCAGCAAGTCAATTCATGTTAAGGACGAGAAACAACAAGGAAAAACCATATTTAAAATTATGTTATTACTATTACTATGCTTGGTATGGTAAGGTAACAGATTTAATGGACTGTTCAAGTCATACAGCTGTTAATGATATAGACACTGCAGTGCACTGGTTTTAGCATTTAACAGACATTCAGTAAAGCCATAACAGACGCTCTTACATGGAGGGTAAAAATGTTTTCGAAGTCCTGTTGGGCTGTTTTCGAAGTCCTGTTGCGTACTAACAGCTGTAAGTCCGATTCGAAGTTCTGTTACAAACAGGACCAACTACCCCTGCACAACCAGCCCCAAGTGTACAGTCGAATGTTATATAAAGTTCATATGTTAGCATGACAGTGTTAAAATTTCGAATCAAGTGGCAGGGGGGAATCATGTTCAAAGTTCGAATTTCGAGCTCCTGCGAATGTAAACACTTACATTGGGGTAATATGTTAAACTTCCTTCAAGTACAGTACAATTTTATGTTTAGGCACAAGGACGCGGTAAAACTTCAAAACAAATTCGAGATAACAGATGTTAAGGCTCTATAAATTCTTTTAATGGGGTGGACTGTTAAGCAGCCTCTGTCAGGACACTGACTCTGGTGTTTTGGTTTACATACATTGAGGGCTGTATAGAACAGTCGTGTTTGGCCTTGGATTTTAAGCGAAAAAACAATAACATATAAGAAACTATATTAAAAGTTTCTAAAAAAAAAAAATGTATAAAAATGTGGGTAGATAAAACATATTATTTTATATAAATATTAAATTAGAAGTACTCCATGCTAGTTTCTTCATTGCTTTGATTGTAATTGAAAATGTTAGCGCAGCACTGTTATTGTAAATATATTCGTAGATATTATATATTAACAGCCAGAAACAATGAAATAACAGAATGTACACCTTGGGTAACAGCTTGGAGAAATGCATCTGAAAGTTAACATTTTTAGAGATGTTACATTAAAATAAACTGTAAACAGGCCAGTCATAATTCTTTAACAGCAAGGAGAAATAGCATTTATCAAAAAATTTAACATGTGTTGCTACAGAGAATATATTACAGCTGTAACGAGCTAACGGTTCTGTTACACTCACGCTGCCAAAAACACAAAACGTTGAGCTCTTCCTTCTGTACCAATCCAATACCACACGACATTGATCGAAACTTCCGAAATTATCAAATTGCGGGTAAAGCACCTGCCCCTAGCCAATGGCCACGCCCCCAAGACAACTGCCCACAATTTAATCGCAATAAACGGCGAAATAAATGCAATGCCAAATGTATTTGAGCACACCCACCAACAGGGCAATCGAAGGGCGCATCCGCATCCCGCCGCAACCGCATACCGGGCGAAAGTCGATCAGAAGTCACCCCCCGGAAGGAAGGACTGCAATCGTGTTCGCAGTCCTGTTAATCGCAGGCTCTTCATGTTGCTGTCGCTGTCAACGCCTCAACGCAGGAAGGACAGAGAACAGAAGCCACCCCTAAACGCAACCAGCGACGATTTATAACCAATTTTAAATTGCAAAAAATTGCAATAGTGATAAGGGAGCAGGGAGCAGCGGCAGGGGCCGGGACAGTCATCAGGCGAAACCGAAACTAATTCGCAACAAGCGCAATAAAAATTATGAACAATAGCGGAAATTAGCCATGGCAGAGGGGAGGATCCGCAGCGGTTATGCCATTGACAGCGTAACGAAATGTTAACCAATGCATGACGAATGCCAGCGGCGTCTGCCTGAGAAGGAGCACAAAGAGCAGCAGGAACAGGACCAGGACCACGAATTGGAGATGACATTGGGGGATAACACTTTCGCTGCGAGCGGAAGCGCCATGACCATGCCCTCAGTAGCACTGGGGGGCGGTGCGGAGTTCAGGGCCCCTGGCAAATACAAACTTTAATTAGCAACTTTTTCGATTCTATTCTATTCTGTTTTATTTCTTGTGTGTCGTTGGGGGCGTTGAGTGGCTGGGCTGCCTTCTGCTGCTGCTTCTGCTGCAGCTTCTGGCGTTGCACCTTTTTGCCTGCGGGGCACATGTTCGTGGTAAGTTGATGCCGCTCCGTGTCTCTCGCTCTGCATGTATGTGTGTGTGTGTGTGAAAAAGTTGCTGTCGAATGAGCTAGGATATAGTACGTTCCTGCTGCTGCTGCTGCTGCTGCTGTTGCTGCTACTCCGCTACTTCCAGGGCGAATGACACTTGACAGTGATTTATGGCCGGGGCCACTGATAACCCGCCAAAGCTTGCTTGGCAAGTGCAAATCCAGGGCCACCGCCAACGCCACCCCATTGTCCTGATTGTAGCAACCCTCCCCCCGAGCACATTGATGCGATGGCACTCTTTGTTACGAATTTGTTGAGTTTCCTTTGGCCTGTGAAATATTTTTCATGCCGCAAATGCTGCAATTTTGAGCCCGGAACGCTCACATGTGCAATCATTTTTTATCGCAAATCTCTCTCTCGGTCGCTTCTTATATCAAAACTAAGCGGCTGTTTCGAATCGCTGTCATGTGGTGAGGTCCTGGCCCTGCCCAGCGGGGTGTTAAATTGCTGCCTGTGCCTCTGCCTCTGCCTCTATTTCAGCGCCATTCAACGCCATTAACCTTCTGTCAATTTCAATAAGTCAGCTGCAGAAAAAAAAAACAAAAACCATTCATGGAAATCTGCTGCAATTGCTGCAGAACCAAAGGCACATTAGGGCAGCCAGAATCAGACAGACAGACAGACAGACAGACGGATGAGTCAAGATAAAACCTCCGTTCAGCATCAAATACAATATTGATAAGCACCGAAACTGAAACACTGACCATTCGGAGAGACAGCTAAATTTCGGCCTGACAGCCTGGACATGTATGTCGAGCCACAAGGGAAATGCTAAGAGATCTCTTTCAAAGTTATTATAAGAATGGAAAATTCACTTGAAATTATGTGTAAGATTCGAGGCAATGCAAGCAGTAACAAAACCTAGATAGAAAATGTAAAAGAAGTGCCCAGTGCCAATCGATCGGTCTGCTAAAAACTGCACAATTTTGTTGTATTTTTATCACAGGCTGGCGTCGTGGACACACACCTTTGCTGACCGCATTCCCCTGGCGGACATACGGACCGACCGTTCGTTTGGTGGCTGCGCTTGTTGCCATTTCCGCTTCCGTTTGCCGCTGTCGTCGTTGTCATGTCTACTTGTCCTACGTGTCCCGTGTCCCGTGTCCTGTGTCCTGTATGTCCTGTGTGTCCTGCGTGTCCTATATCCCCTGTCCCGTGTCCTGTTTTCCTTGCTGTTGCCGTGTTGCACATAAATCGTTTAAAATAAAGTGATAATTGCATTTGTGTTTCAACTGTCAAACTGACGTCAGTCCATGGGACTTCTGTGGCCATACCAAATGCTTTTCTGTATCTGTGTCTGTGTCTGTGTGTGTGTGTGTGTGTATGCTTTAAAGTGTATTTGTGTGTGTGTGGCTTAACAGGAGCAGCCTGGCATTGCCTGGCACTTGCGCGACATTTTATGAATGCCGCCGTATGAATAATTGCGATAGCAGCCAATTTGAATGGTTCCCATCCTCATACCCATTCCATTCACCCATTCACCCTTACTGATGCAACCTTTTCGGGGGTTGTTTTTAGTATGTGTGTGTGTGTTTGTATGTTTTAATTTCAGTGTCACTGTGAAGTGGATTAAAGTATTTCCATCGGCTTACAACCTAAAATGAGTGCAACCCCTCGATCAGGGCCCGCCCAGAGTGTTGCACTCCAGGCACAGGCACAGGCACAGGACAGGCACCCATCTGGCTGTTGCAGAGTCAACAGACGCACTTTATCATGAATATACTTATATACTGTGTGTCTCGTGTATCTGCAGATATTTCTACCTAGGCCAGTACAGAGAGAGAGACAGATCCAGTGGCAGTGGCAGCTCTGATTAATACGCGACACCCCGTTGGCTTGGCGTGTGAAACGGCCAAGTGTTCCTCCGTACCCTCCCCCCCCCTTCACGCTCTCTTTCCCGCTCTCCGACCGAATTGAATTGTTCAGCAAATAGCATTAATATTTATATTGTTTTTTACGAGTATCCCGTGGCAAGGGGTGCACTGCGTCGCGACGTCAATTGCGGCGCTAAGTGCCACAGCAAACAAAGGCCAGATTGAATGCAAATGTTGCAAGAAGCGAACCGCCGCATGTGGCAAATTAGGTTTCCTTTGATGCACAAGCATGCCTCAAAATGGAGAAAAATTGTAATGAAAATTATTCAAAAAAAAAAAGGAAAGAAAAAAAGGAAAA